TCTATTACAAGGGCACTTACATCGGTAAAGCCGATGATGATGATGGGGTCTTCGTTTTGAACTTCTCGGCTCAAGGCACCACTGGCGACTCTGAGCGAACACTTCTTCTGAAGACAATTTCCACGGAGCCGCCAACCTGGTCGCACCCCGAGGACGTGGATATTGAGGTGCCGCCTCAGATGGTCTCCTATGACTCTGCACCGTCCCAACTGCTTCATCGTCCAATCCAGGCGACACCGGACCTGCATCAATGGAAGAAGAAGAGGATAGCAGCAAATCAGCACACGCAGAACCAGGCAACGGAAGCAGTACAGCTACTCCAGCGACCGGAACTGGTTGGGGGGAAACCAGTCATGCACTCGGCCTTTGGGGAGAAATCCTAACATCCGAAGAAGTAGCTTCAGGCGGATGGGGCGTTGTCCAAACACTAGAAGAGGGCGGCACCACCACTGGAGGCGGCTGGGGAACTTCGGTCACCGAAGGAGAATGGGGTTGGGGTCAGCCAGCTCCAATGTATCCCGAAGCTCCAGTACTTCCATATGCGAATGTCTCAGTCGTCGATCCGTACAGGGCAAGTCATGGTACCAGCTGAGTCGGACCTCCTCTTCTAGATCATTATGCTCCTGACACACCAGAAACAGTCCAAGAGGAGTCAGAAGAAGAAACTTATGATTGTTGTTGTTGTTGTTGTTGTTGTTGTTGTTGTTGTTGTTGTTGTTGTTGTTGTTGTTGTTGTTGTTGTTGTTGTTGTTGTTGTTGTTGTTGTTGTTGTTGTTGTTGTTGTTGTTGTTGCTGAGATAACTACTACAACGGGAGCTAGACTACGGGCTAGGCACGGGTGCTCGTATGATCTCTGCGTTCGTTGGTCCTTAGTCGTTTTCCTAGTGCACACACTGCTTGCTAGTTCACAAGACAATTTGGCAAGAGTTTCACTAGAGAAAGTTGACAACAATGATACAATGAAGTTGGCAAGGCTAGACTACATCAGAGCTAGGATGCAAGCAGGTCGACTGCCAGCGTAGCACGGTCGACCGCGTGCCAGCACGACTTGGTCGACCGCGCTCCAGCAGTACAGAGACGCGGCTTGCCAACGCTGCAGGTCGACGGCGTGACAACAGCGCAAGTCGACGGCGTGCCAGCGTTGCTCCTGCAGCCCAGCATCGCACCAGCTTCGCAGGTGCTCGTAGGTGATTGGCGCGCACTGCTTCGTCACCTGCACAGCGCACACACCAAGTCCACCTCGTGCTGACGACTGCATCTCATCTGCCAGGTCGACCTCGGGATACCACCACCGAGGTCGTCCTCGCCAACCTCGCCTGGGCGACCTTCGCGTGCCTTCGCAGACCCTCGTCACCCAGGTAACATGGTCGACCAGGCAACCAGGTCGACCAGCTGCTCCTGTGCGTGCCCGTCGACCTCCCAGGTCGACGACCACTTCCAGTCGACCTCACCAGGTCGACCACTGCCTCCGGTGTGTGTAGGTCGACCTCCCAAGTCGACGGCTACCTCCAGTCGACCTCCCAGGTCGACCACTACTCCCTGGTCGACCAGCTCCAAGTCGACGTCACTCCTGGTCGACCAGAAGGTCTGGTCGACGTCCCAGGTCGACCAGAAGGGCTGGTCGACTTCCCAGGTCGACCAGAAGGGCTGGTCGACTTCCCAGGTCGACCAGAAGGGCTGGTCGACTTCCCAGGTCGACCAGAAGGGCTGGTCGACTTCCCAGGTCGACCAGAAGGGCTGGTCGACTTCCCAGGTCGACCAGAAGGGCTGGTCGACTTCCCAGGTCGACCAGAAGGGCTGGTCGACTTCCCAGGTCGACCAGAAGGGCTGGTCGACTTCCCAGGTCGACTAGCCAGAGTTGGCGCCCTCCTGAGGTCGGCGCCCATGTAGTGGCCCCCCGTGCAGGTCGACCAACCTCGTCGACCAGCCCGCTCACTGCTGCAGGTCGGCTGCACTCCTACACCCGACCACGAAGTCGGCTCCGCCCAAGCGAGGACGGGGCCAACATCCAACTCCCGTTGACACTCCCCTGCCGCGTTCACGCTTGGGCCCCCAGCCCACACGACAGTACTTCTCGGAGAAAAGCTCGTCGACGTGCACCCAACACACAGCACGTCGTCCACCGCACCAGCCATGCAAGAGGGCATGGCACCTACTGCTGCACTTCGTCAACTTCGTCGCCCACGTCGGCCAAGCACACCTGGCCGATAGCGACAGAGCACCGGTTGAAAGCCGGATAGTGCAGCGCCTTCGTGAGGAAGTCGGCCGGCTGCTCCGCGGTCGGAATGTACTGCAGCGCAAACTTCCCCCGCTTCACCATGTGCTGCAGCCAGGCCTGTCGCCGCTCCATGTGCTTGAGGTTGCCTGTCAACCCCATGCCCTCGGCGACTGTGATGGCCGACTTGTTGTCCACCCGAAGGACGGTCGGCTTCCCAGCATCCAGCTGCTGGAACTCTGCGAGGAGGAAGCGAAGTCGGCGTCCCTCCTTGCCGGCTTCGACGGCCGCCACGTACTCCGACTCGGTCGACGACAGTGTCGCGCACTTGATGCGCTGGCTTGACGAGAAGACCGTGGCCCCTCCGTAGACGAACACGTAGCCACCCGTGCTCGTCCTGCTCTGCTTGTCACCGGCGTCGTCGGCGTCCACGAGGCCGACCAGCTCCAGCGACTCAGGTCCACCGCCGAACTCTAGGGCGGTGTCACGCGTGTTGGCGAGGTAGGCGAGGCAGCGGTCGACCTCGCGCCAGTGCTGGTCGCTCCTCACCGTGAGGCCGCTCCCTAGCTTGCTGCAGGCGAAGGCGATGTCCGGCCTCGTCGTCGTCGCCGCGAACTGCAGCGAGCCGACCTTCTGCCGGTACTCCTCCTCCTGTCGCTCCTGTGCCTCCTCGTCGTCGAAGGTGAGCTCGGCGTAGGCATCGACCGAGACCGGCGTCTTCGGAGTCCGTCCGCCCTGCTCCTCGTCGATGAAGCGCCTACGCAGCTTGTCGGCGTAGCCCTGCTGGTGCAGCCACAGCTTCCCCGCCGACCTGTCGCGCACGATCTCCAGCCCGAGGTACTTCTGCACCGGCGAGATCTCACGCAGCTCGAAGGCGGCCTCCAGCAGCTCCTTCAGCTCCTTCAGCATCGCGGGGCTGCTGCTGGCGGCGAGCAAGTCGTCGACGTAGACCAGCACCCAGCAAGTCGCCCCGTCGTCGCCGACCTTGAAGTAGAGAGCCTCGTCGACCTGGCTCTTCTTCCACCCAGCGCCGACCAGCACGTCGTTGAGCGCCAAGTACCACAGCAGCGGCGACTGCTTCAGCCCGTACAGGCTCTTCAGCAGCTTGCACACCCGGCCGGTCCCGTCGTTGAAGTAGTCCGGCTGGGACATGTACAGCACCCGGTCGAGCTTGCTCTGCAGGAAGGCGTTCTTCATGTCAAGCTGCATCAGGTTGAGGTTGAGCACGGCGACGATGCTGAGGAAGATCCTCAGGGTGACGTAGCTGCCCACCGGCGCAAACGTCTCGTCGTAGTCGGCGCCGTACACCTGCGTGAAGCCCTTCACGACCAGCCTCGCTTTCTCGCGCTCGACGGTGTCGTCGATGTGGTACTTCGTCATCGTCCGCACCCACCGGTTCTTCATCACGTTCACTCCCGGCGGGCGTTCGACCAGCTCCCACGTCCCCATGGCGATGAGACTGCGGATCTCCTCCTCCATGGCGGCCTTCACCGCCGGACCCTTCCAGCTCGCCAGCGCCTCCTTCACCGTCATTGTGGAGATGTCCCAGCGGTGCTCGGGGTCGGCCAGCATGTTGGGATCGAGCTCCGGGAACTCTTCGTCCTCGTCGGCGTCGTCGTACAGTAGGTCGTCGTCCTCGTCGACCACGTCATACACCGTGGTGAAGGCGGCGGGAACGAAGAAGTCGGGAGGCCTCCGAAGTCGACCTGACTTCCGGGGTTCAGGCGGGACCACCACCACGTCCCGGTCGGTGGACTGGTCGACCACCTTCTGGTCGACCGGCTCCTCGTCGCCCAACTGCTCCCCTTCATCTTCACCGCCGTCCTCGTCGTCCTGCTGCACCTCGGTCGGCTTCCCGGTCGACTGCTCCCCTGTGGTCAGCTCCCCTGTCGACCGCCAGGTCGCCGACTGCTCCTGGGTCGACCTCGTTGCTGCCTGCTCCCCTGTCGGCTTCACCCAAGTCGGCTGCACCTCCTCGACCTGCTCTTCCCCTATCCAGGTCGACTGCACCCCCATGTCGACCTGCTGCACGTCCCGTCGGCCACCGGCGATGCCTTTGGTCGGCGCCACAGGCGACGCCCCACTACTCCCCTCATCGCCGGAGGCCGACGGCGGAATCAGCCCACGCAGGTCGACGAGGGGAGGGGCAGGGGAGTGAGAGGAAGAGTGGACGACCTCGACGTCGTCCTCAGCAAGCTCACCGACCTCGGCGAGCAGAGGGAGAGTTGCCGTCGAGGTATCCGTCGGCGTGGCCACCAGCGTCCGCCCCGACGCCGGCCCATGCTCCGACTTCCACTCCTCCAGCGACAGGTCCTCGTAGAACACCACGTCCGACGTGGTGACCACCCGGTTGGCAGCAATGTCGAGGAGCTCCCAGCCCTTGCTTGCCTCCGACACGCCGAGGTGGAGGCCCCACTTGGCCTTCGGCTGCAGCTTCCCACCACGCTGCTGCTCGGGGACGAGGAACTGCGCCATGCAGCCCCACACTCGCGCCAGTGACAAGTCGGGCTTCGTCCCGGTCAGTAGCTGGTATGGCGTCGTCCCCGGCGTCGCCGACCGCTCCAGGCAGTTGCGGATCCAGACGGCCTGCCGCAGAGCGAGGTGCCACCAGTGGTGCTGCACGCCCATGTGCAGCAGCATCGTCCTCACCGACTCCACCACCGTCCGCATCTCCCTCTCCGCCATGCCGTTCTGCTGCGGGGTGTAGGGGCAGGTTAGGTCGTGGACGATCCCCTTGCCGTCCACGAAGGCGGTGAAGGCCTTGCCGAGAAACTCCCCTCCTCGGTCAGAGCGTAGCTGCAACACCGACTTCTTCGTCTGCCGCTCCACCAGCACCAGCCACTTCTGGAACTCCAGCAGCACATCCGACTTCTTGGCAACCGGCCTCACCCACACGTAGCGGGACTTACGGTCCTTCAGCAGCAAGAAGTACAGGCTGCCATCCTTGGCAGCCACCCGGAATGGCCCGCACAAGTCGATGTGGACGACGGCTAGCACGTCGTCGGCGTCGGAGCCTTGGTCGGGGAAGGTGTGCCGCGCCAGCTTCCCGCCGACGCACGAGACACACGGTGAGTCGGCGCCCGTCGCCGACTTGAGGTCCAGCCCAGTGGCGACCTCGTGCTTCGCCGAGCTCCGGATGGTGTCCATGCCGACGTGCGCAAGCCGAGCATGCATCCTGCTCGGCGTCGACTTCGTCTTAGAGACGATCGCCCGCAGGGCCAGAACCTCCGGCGTAGGTGACGGCGACCTCATTGAGCAGGGACGCAGGTCGGTGCAGAGGACTCGCCCGGAGTACGTCGCCCGACCAAGCACCTCTCCTGCTGCCGAGACAAGCAGCATCCCGTCGCCGTCCTCCCGAAACTTCACGCCATGCTCCTTCAGCTGGCCGGACGACAACAGGTTGGCCCGCACACCCGGGACGTACAGCACGTCGGGGATGAGAACCTGCTTCCCGGCCTCGCCTTGCAAGGCGACCGTGCCCCGGCCCTGGACGTCTTGCAGCGCCCCATTGAAGCCACGCACGTGCTTCAAGTCGCCGCTCGGCCCCAGGTCGACGAAGGCGTCCTTTGTCCCCATCAGGTGGTGTGAGCAGCCGCTGTCCAGCAGGACGACCGCCGGGTTCGCCTGCACGACTGCCGCCAATGCCTGGAAGTCCTCTCCGGCCTCCGGTGCCAGCGAGACGGTCGGCTCCACGACCCCGACCAGCGAGCACGACGCCGACTTGTCGTTGCTCCCCTTGCCGCTAGCAGAGGAGTCGGCGTCCTTCGCCGTGGTCGACGTGGTCGACTGCTTCTCCTTGCGCGGCTTCTCCTTTCCTCCACGACGTGGACGACGACTTCCAGATCTCCCACGGCCTCCCTTGTCGTCGTCGTCGTCGGAGTCACTGCGGTCGGGGCACTCAAAGGAGAGATGGTCGGGGCTGTGACAGATCCAGCACTCCCGACGTCGACCTCCTCCTCCTCGACTGTCCTTGGTCGACTTCTTCTTGTCGACCTCCTTGGTTGACTTCGAGCCACTGCTACCACTGCCGCCGGACTGTCCGCGCTGCCCCGGTCGACCGCCTTGCTTCGCCGGGGCGACGTAGTTCACCTGCGCCAAGAGCTCTTGGGACCGCTCGGCCTCCTGCATCGCCTCGTCCTGCAGGATGTACGAGGTCAACGTGTCCTCGTTGAGCGTCGCCCGCGTGCTCGGCGCCATCGACAGCCGCTTCAGCAGGTTGTAGCTGCTCGGAAGTCCCTGCATGACATGGGTGATGTACGACGCCGTCGAGTACTCCGCACCGGCCATCCTGATGGTGGCGAGAATCCGCCGGGCCCGGTTGCAGTAGTCGGTCGCCGTCTCCTGGTCGCCCATACGCAGGTGTGTCAGCTGCCCCTCCAGTTGGGCGATGAACAAGTCGTCGGTGACCTGGTAGGTCGACTCAATGAAGTGCCACGCCTGGTGGCCGGCGTCGAGGTACTCCCGGCACCACTTCAAGGCGATTTGCATACCCGGCGAGCAGCACCGTGAGATGACCGTGAAGGTCAACAGCTGCACAGCGCGGAACTCAGCTCGCAAGTCGGGGTCGCTCGGCGTCGCCACGGTACCTCGAGCGAAGCTGATCAGCCCGGCCATCTCCAGCTGGGGCTCGATGGCCTCCTTCCAGGTGAGTATGTCGGGTCGACCGACCAGCGGGGGAGTCACCGAGATCCTATCCGGCGTGAACTTAAAGTAGCCGTAGCTCGGCGCAATTCCGCCCGCCGTCACCTGGGACGCCGACATCGGCGTCAACCCGCTTCGTCGACCTCCGACGTCGCCCTGCGAGGTGCCCGCAGCCGACGTCGACCGCATCCCTCGCCCTTAAACGCCGCCGACTTCGTCGGCGTGAATCACACCACGCTGCCTCGACGTGCCTCCCGCACTACTGCCGACTTGGTCGCCCCCGGCGTTGACGCCCACGTCGACGCCGCCCTCGGTGTTCACCGGTCGAGGAGAAGCAGGCCGAGAAGGGTGCTCCGTCGCCCACAAGGAACGGATGCCAGCCTCGACGACCGCCCACGGCAGGTCGCCATACTCGTTGGCCTCGTGCTTCCTCCTTTCATTTTCCAGCCGTGCCTCCAGGGTGTCCACCACCCCCGTGTCACCTACGACGCCTACCATGGTGACTACCGCACAGCTGCCGGCCTACGAACAACTTAGGTAAGGTGCCACTAAGTCGACTAGACTGAAAGGTAAGTCGTTGTGCCGTCCACGCTCACCGCACCATGCGGAGATAACTACTACAACGGGAGCTAGACTACGGGCTA